TTATCATTTTCCAAGATTTATTCTTTTTTCCTTTTTTCTCATATTTACTGATTATTATTATTTTGACTGTGATGAAAACTTGTCAATATATTCTCAGTGAGTGCACGTTAAAAATTTATTTAAAATTACCCTCAAATTTGTCATTCAGGTTACCATTCCAATAAAATAGGGATGCGGAGAAAAAGGATGGAAGGGCGGGAGGTAAGGGGAACTGACTGAAAAACTTTAACCAAAACAATAAGATGTGACCGTATTTCGAAGGAATTCCAGTAAGTTTTGCCGGTAATTTATTTTTCTTGACTGAATTGGATCCTCAGCGGAGCGCTACCAGAATGAAGGTGGGGGTGGAAGGGAGGGGGAATTAGAAAAATGACAGAACAGAAAGTTGTAATGCGTAGCAGGCTTTCTCAGCCAAAAAATGTTTATTTTTCCTGTGATTCATACGGCTAAGTTCAAGATTTTCCATCTGCCCCTGGTGTTATGTGATGTATCTTGTTTGGTTTGCTGAAAGATGATTTGCCTGGCGTTATTCGGTGAATTCAATGTTTTTTTTTATTCCTTCCTTTACGCAAAAATCCATACCGCGTCATATATCCTTCTTAAAATCCATACCTGTAGTTTTATGGACCCTTAGTACAGCTTTTGTTATTGCTCCATACATACATGTATCAGACGATAAATACTTCTGATGATCATTGTTTGTAGTTTACAGAAAAAAGGCGCGTATTTTCAGATTTCGTTTGGGATAATAAGTCTGCTCAGGTTGTTTTGTTACTGCTGATGTTACGGCGGAGTATCCATGTGCCGAGTGCTTTTTTGCCCGCCCCAGTCTGTTTCGAGTTATGTACCATTCGTCGAATATCAAAGAGGATCTTAGAGCGCTTATACCGTATTATCCTTCGTTTCTTTGAGACAGTATAGTGGATATGGATCGGTTTTTTTTTTGTGTGTGAGTTCTGGGACTACCTGTCAAGCAAAGTTTAATTTTTGGTCAAAAGAATTTGAGGTACCCCCTTAACGGAGTTGCGATAGTTTTTGCTGATCTCCGATATTCCGTCAGAGAATCTCGCCAGAAACCAAATTCTAATCAGCAAAAATGTGGATTTTTTTTTTTTTAAACGCCCGGTTTGTAGTTGAAAGCTTATAGTTGAAACGTGGTTCTATTTAACAACACCTTTGGGTAATATTTGCCATCTGCATGAAGCATGTCACTTTCGAAGGTTATCTGAGCACTTCCTGCTTCTCAGTAGTACCGTTAATTGATATATGACGCGTCTTTGGAGATATATAATAACTAGCCAACGCACGGGCTGCCCGTGCGAAGATGCGTTTTTTGCATGATTCCCCGCAGTTTTTGTTGCTACCGACACCGGTTTCTTCGGCAAATGCATCTAGCTAAGCAAATTAAGACTGGCCACCAGAACTGTCAGAAAACATCCCTTTAAAATTTCAACTTTCTAGCTTCC